AAAGAAAGAAAGAAAGAAAGAAAGAAAGAAAGAAAGAAAGAAAGAAAGAAAGAAAGAAAGAAAGAAAGTTTGGGGAGATGAGTCTTGAGAGTTTGAAGATCTGGGTTTGGGGAGGTTGAAGAGCTGGGCCTGGAGTCTGGAGATTTGGCCTTGAGAATCATGATCTAGTGTCTGGGATACTGCCCTGAGCCTAGGAAAGGGAAGAGAAATATGGTGTGGTTGGAGAAGATTTTAGAGATAATGTCTCTAAAAGACTAAGGGGTCTTTGAAGTCAGGAGAACCTAGGATTCTGGAGACCTGGTTTCTAGTGCCACCTTAGCCACTAACTTCTCAATTCTACCATTCTGTCTTCTAAGGTGACTTCCAGTTCTGACATCTTTTGTTTAGGCCCCTTCCAGCTCTTGTTTTCTACATTCTGTGTCCTAAAGTCCCTTCCACATCTATAGTTCTAGGTTCTAGGTTCTAAGGGCTCCACTAACATTCTCTGTTCTCTGTTCTGAGGCTTCTTCTAGCTCTGACATTCTGGTTCTGTGTTCTAAAGGCCTTCCGAGGCCAACATTCTCAGTTAAAGGCTCTTATGGCTGTAAATCCTATGATCCTTGCTCATTGGGACCAAGCAGGAGGTGTGGACGTCTTATGGGACCTCACTTTTATTTCTTTCTGGCCTTGATTTGTTTCTTCTAAGTGTAGTGCTGGTAGTACCCAGGTGGAGGATTGGTTTAACTAAGCATATTGAAGCCTGGGGCAATAAGGATGAGGAAACAATGGCTGATGGTTTCTTTTGTCTCTCCTTCTTCCTCTCCACTCCAAAGTGGGCCACCACCATCTTGGACATCGAGCGTTCTTTCCCGGTTTTTGTGAGGAAGGCGTTCCGCTCTGGGGAGATGGTCACTGTGGGCAAGAGCTCAGATGGCACACCAGACCGGCGGTGGTGTTTCAGGTAACTGCTCTTCTCACTAGGCATTGTACATGCCTGGGCCAGGTCACCATGATGCCCTACCACAATGCTTTCTATCCATTTCTACTTTCTACTGGCTTGCTCTCCTCCCTGCCCCATCGTCTTCAGGGTAAGCTCTAAGGTAGTGGTCTCACCACTTTGCAAGAGACATCTCCCTTCCCTATTCCACCATCCCCAGGGGTTTACATTCCCTACAGCATAAAAAGTTTTGAAGTCTACATAGTTGTTGGAATCCTCTCTCTTCAACCTTCTAGGCTCCCCAAAAGGCATGGAGCTTCATGACTTTATCCCTTCTAACTCTCAAAACTCTCATCCCATGATAGATTGTGAAGCTCAAGTGACTTTCTCTGGGAACCATTTAACATAAGCACTGGAGATACAGATAGTGGCCAAAAAACAAACAAATCAATTTCTGCCCTCAAGGAGCTTACAATCTAATGGGGGAGATTGTGTGCCAACTACTATGGACAAACAGATAAATAGGAGATAATTACCGGAGGAGGCCGGAGGATTAAGAGAGGGTGGGGAAGGCTTCCTGTAAAAAATGGGATTTTGGCCGGGACTTCATGGAAGCCAGGGAAGCCAGGTGGTAGAGAAAGGAGGGAGAGCATTCCAGGCATGGGGGACAGCCAGAGAGAATGCTCAGAGCTGAAAGATGGCGGGTCTTGGTTGTGGACCAGCCAGGAGGCTTGTGTCACTGGATTGAAGAGTATATGGGGGGGAGTGAGGCGTAAGAAGACTGGAAATGGAGAAGGGGTCTAGGTTTGAAGGGCTTTGAATGCCAGAACTTTTTATATTTGATCCTGGAGGCCATAGGGGGCCACTGGAGTGTATTGAGTAGGGGAGTGACGTTGTCAGACCTGTGGGTTAAGAGAGTCACTTTCATGGCTCAATGGAGGATGGATTGGAGTGGGGAGAGAGTTGAGGCAGGCAGACCCACCTTATCGCTTTTGTTGTTGTTCAGTCATTTCAGTCATATCTGACTTTTCACGACCCCATTGGGGGCTTTCTTGGCAAAGATACTGGAGTAGCTTGCCATTTTCTTCTCCAGCTCATTTTACAGATGAGGAAACCGAGGCAAACAGGGTGAAATGACTTGCCCAGGGTCACACAACTAGTAAGTGTCTGGGGCTGGATTTGAACTCAGGTCTTCCTGGCTCCAGGTCTGGCGCTCTCTCCACTACACCCTCCAGCTGCCCACAACTGATCACTAGTGTAGTTTATTACAAATTACACCTTTATTTTCACTGACATTTCTTTTCCTTTGTAATCTTATACATTTTATTTTATGCATTTAAAAACATGAGAAGGGGGGGGCATAAGCTTCAACAAACTTTTCCAAGTGGATCTTGAAAAATATTTTTAAAAAATTTTGTTCTGCGTTAGTATTTGACCATGCTTTTTCTTTTCCTTTTTAAATGTATTAGTGTTCTTTCCTTTTTCACTTCCATCAAAATGATCAGTCAGTGCATGTGTTAAGCTCCTCTGTGTGCCAGGCCCTGGGCTAGCTGCTGAGGGAGACCACATATACACGTGGTCAATAGATCTACAAGAGACATTCCAAAGGGATACAGGGTCATTTTGGGCAGGGCAGCATCAGCATTAGTGAGGCTCAGGAAAGGCTTTCATGTCAATGACTTCCCCCCCCTCCCAGAACCCTCCCTTGTAATAGAGAAACAAGCAAAAGAAATCAATGCATCGGTTATGTTTGACCACGTACGCCCCACGTTGTCCCTGTAGTATACCACCTCTCGGCTGGGAGTAGGGAGCCTAGAAGAGGCAGCATGAAAGTGTGGACTAGTGGAAAGATTGGAGTCAGAGGCCTGGGCTTCCCATCTCATCTCACTCGCTTACTCCTTGTGTGGGCAAGTCACCACCTCACCGGGCTTCAGTTTCCTCATCTGTGAAATGAGAAGGGTGGGCCCCAAGGACCTTCCTGCTCTAAGCTAGCCCTCTGGGTCAGAGCCTGGCTTTGCCTTTAACCCCTGGGGAGCCTGAAAGCCTTCATACTGCCCCCTCCTGCCAATCCCTCCCCTGCCCAGACCTGTCCAGTCTTCCTATACCTTATTCCTCTCCATGTGCCCTGCAATGTCCTTAAATATGGTTTTGTAAACATGAGGCTCCATCTCTCAGCTCCCAGTGTTTTCACTGGCTGTGCCCCATACCAGGAGCACCCTCCCTCCTTGTCTCTGCCTCTAAGTCTCACCTGAAAGAAGCCTTAGGCACCTCCCCCTCAATTCCAGTGCCTGCCCCCTGAGACCACCCCCAAATAATCTACTGCATATACCTGGTTTGTACATAGTTGTTTGCATGTGGCCTCCCCCATTCCGTTATGACTTTCTTTAATCAATCAATAAACATTTGTCGGGAGGCAGCTGGGTGGTGTGGTGGATAGAGCATCAGACCTGAAGTCAGGAAGACCTGAGTTTAAATCCAGCCTAGTTGTGTAACCCTCGGCTAGTCATTTTACCTCTGTCTCCCTCAGTTTCCTCATCTGTAAAATGAAGCTAATAATAGACCCATCCTCCCAAGGCTATTGTTAGGATCAAATGAGATATTATTTGTAAAGCACCTTGCAAAGCTTAACTTGCTCTTTCACTGGGATCTTGGGAAGAATTGGCCGAGTTGAGCATTGGCCCTGGGGAAGGAGGAAGTAGTTTTTGGATGAGATGTGGAGGGAGGAGAGATAAGTAGATCTCCACTCTTTCATTCTGTTCTTTCCTCCTAGGGTTGATGAAGTGAATTGGTCTCATTGGAACCAAAATCTGGGCATCATTAATGAGGATCCAGGCAAGAATGAGACCTACCAGTACTACGGTTTCTCGCACACCGTGGGCCGCCTCCGCCGGGGTGAGTAGAGGAGGGAATGAGGAAGAGACAGGAGAAGAGAGGAGATGGGGGCTGGGAGGGCAGGAAGAGAAGGAGAGCTTTTTTTGACTTGATTTCCTGGTGTAGGGGTGAGTCCCAAAGTCTGGAATTCTGGTCTTCCCTGTCCCACTGACTTGGGCACTTGTGCCCCCTCTCTGGCCATTGGCTTTTTATCTCTGGAAAGGGGGCTAGATCAGGGGTTCTTAACTTGGGGTCCACAGACCTTCCCCTCAAGCAGTTCATGGATAGATTTCAGGGAACTAGGTGGGGAAAATGGCATTATTTTCACTGAATAATCCTCTGTATTCTATTTTGTGCATTTAAAAACATGCTGAGAAGAGGGACATAGACATCACCAGACTCTGCCAAAGGAGTCTGGGACAAAAATGGGGAAGAACCCCTGGGCTAGACGTCACATTCTTAATTCTAAGACCCCTCTTAGCCCTGACATCCCCTGTTCTGAGGCCCCTCCCAGCCCTGACATCCC